TGGAGAGATTTTCACTGTAGGGCGCTTGCGCTCGCCAGACAGACAGAGAGAGATATAGAGACAGAAAGCGAGAAATCACCCCCCAGGGGGGATGGTCATGCCACAATCCCTTCTCCTCCATTCTCTTCTTGGGATCTTGGGCACGCACGCACACGCGCCCAGCGTGAGTTTTAAGCCACCGGGTCCGGGACGCGAACCGTGGTCGACTACATGGGAGTCTAGTGACATAGCCATTATGCTAACTGCTGGTTCCCTCTTTGTCTCCTTTTAATACTAGTTCTATGAGTTGTTTCTCATTCTACTCAATATTTTCAATTCTAGAAACAAATGATCCATCAACTATTAAGTTAATATTGTAATTCTACTCAATCCTGTTCACTCAAGGAAGTGAGATAAATTACAGTAAAACAATCTCATATGCATATCCACATTTTATTTCTAAACTTGTTTTGAAAATTATTTCTTGTTTTTAATAAGGTTGTTACAACATGCAATGAGATGAATTTAGTAGAAGTACGAGAAAGATAATCAAAATAAAGTGACAACTTATAATATGGTAATATGGAGTAATTTTATTTAAATGTGCCATAAGAACATGACCTTTACTTGAGGACATTGAGGTTTTTGTTAACAACTGAACCATCCCTTTATGAGCAGCCATACAGATGGCATTGAGATAAATCTGATTTTCAACATAAGAAAAATGATGCAGATACAAATGTAGACCGTATTCTGAAATGCTGTTAGCAAAAACAATCTGGTAGTAACAACTAATGAATTCTTTAAAAAGGGAGTCCCAGAATATTAGATGCCAAAATATGCTTACTGCGATCTTCCACTTGTCTTTTTGCCAAGTAATTGGCAAGCCAAACTCTCCACATTGTCTCCAATTAATTATAGGCAATCAAAGTCAGTTTGAATATGAATTTAGCACCATGTAATTTATTGCTAAGTTACAAATATTTATATTGTACTGCTCTAGTTACACTCCAATAATTTATAATTTCTTATAAAAATGTGGATTTATTTTTATAACAAACTATTTTTCGTACAGATAGAAATTATGTGCAAATATCAAGTTTATTTTTAATAAAAATTTTAAATGGATTACCTGTGTTAAATTTTTAAAACTGTTTATCTTGATTGAATTTGAATGAGCTCTTTTTTTAAGAAATGATTTCTAATTAAATATTGGGTCATTGGAAAAATCATGACATATTTTTCAGGTTCTTTTTTCAAAAAAGCATCATTACTTTTTCAACAACCCAATATTTCTCTTTTGTGACCATTGGTTTGCGTTCAAGAGACTGAACAGGAACCTATTATGATGTGAACCCCTATCACTGAGTCACTTATTAACTTATTAAAAAAAAAAAAAAAAGTCTTAAGAGAGATAATTTTATCCTTGACAGGGTCTTTATATCATAATCTTCCTCCCAGCCCTGTAGCTAGCCAAGTACGTGGGCATTGCCCCAGTGTACCCAGCAAGTTCAGGTAGACCAGAAACATGAACTGGAGCCTTCCCATTTGACTTCCAGCATTGTGCTGTAGTGCACCTGCACCACCATGTCTGGGCCCTCTAAAAGTACCTTTTTTTTAAAATTTTTTTTTCCATGGGGTGTATGTGCTTACTGGTGATAGACAGTAAGAGGAAAAGTGAGATATCACCCCCCATGGGAGATGGCATGCCACAGTCGCCTCTCCTCTGTTCGCCTTTGAGGATTTGGGGCACTAATGCACAAATAGCTGGTGTGATTTTCAAGCCACCAGATCTGGATTCAGACCAGGGTCAGTCATGTGGGAGTCCAGCACCCTAACCACTATACCACCTGCTGGCCCCAGAGCAACTATTTAATTATATGATAAAACACTCCTCTTAGCAGTGGTTCAGAATGTTTGTCCAGATACTCAATTGTTTCTTTAAGGCTCAACATAAACAGTGTTTTTGTTTATGTTGAAACTTAGAGAAATATTTATTTATCAGAAAAATATATTGTTATTTTTATATAATATTTTCCTCTGATCTTAAAAATCCCATTCTCCTCTCGGGATCTTGGGCACGCATGCACACGCGCCAGCGTGAGTTTTAAACCACCGGGTCCAGGACACAAACCACGGTCGACTACATAGGAGTCCAGCGACATAGCCATTATGCTAACTGCTGGTTCCCCTGATGTTAAATTTATACCAGATTTCAACCAGCAATTTGACATCTCACTTTAATTTTTTTCACAAGTGATAAAAACACAATGGTGAGGGACCAGCAGATGATGTAATGGTTTTGTTGCTGGACTCCCACGAGGTTGACTGCGGTTCAAGTATTTGACCTGGTGGCTTAAAACTCATGCTGGGTGCATGTGCTTGCATGCCCAAGATCCCGAGAGGAGAATGGAGGAAAAGGGATTACAGCATGGCCATCCCCCCTGGGGGGTGATTTCTCGCTTTCTGTCTCTCTTGCCTCTCCAGCGAGTGCATGCACCCTATAGTATAAATCACTCTTGAAAAAAAAAATTAGGGACCAGCAGATGGCATAATAGTTTCATCGTTGGACTCTCACGTAGTCAACCACAGTTCAGGTCCTGTACCTGGCAGCTTAAAACTCATGCCAGGCACATATCTGTGCATGTCCAAGATCCCAAGAGGGGAATGAAGGAGAAGGGACTGCAGCATGATCATCTCGCCTGGGGAGTGATTTCTCACTTTCTGTCTCTCTGTCTCTCCCATGAGCACGTGTACCCTATAGGAAAAATCACTCTTTAAAAAAAACCACAATGGTGATATTAACCCCCCTAATTGTACTCAATTAATCAACTATAACATATTTCATAATTCAGTATGCCAGTGTTTTTCTACATAGGACATAGATAATATAAAAAAAAGAAGCAAGAAACTTTTATTTTATGGGACAGTATAGTTCCTTTGGTTCTTTATTGCAATATTTATGCAACATAAGCATCCTTGAGCATAAGCTCTGTCCCATGTCTGATGTAGAAAACAGAGCACTGATCCTTTGGAGTCCTCCTGGAATAACTGTGGGACATCTTTTTAGATTTAGTAGATTTATATTTTATACTTATATTTAAATTCCTAAATTCCTTAATTCACAGCTGAAATGTGATATTTTATAAAGCTTTGACTATGAGAGGTCATTTCTCCCTTATTTGACACCTTTTGCCCTTTTTTTTTTTTACTTCTGTGAAGCATATTATGTTTAATGTATGGCTATGATTTATCTATGCGTAACTTAGAAACTCTTTATAGAAATTATAACTTACATTGTGTGTGTATGTGTGTGTATATGTACTAACTTAGGACCATATTTTATATGTGCCCTAAGAGACAATGGGTATACAAAAAAAATTGCTTCCTCTTTATTTTTTTATTTTAGTTTTTGCTACATACCTGGTGCGTTTTTCACTGGAGCTGGGACTTGAACTGCTCAATCAGTTTTGTGGGATCTGATGCCTTAACAACCATCCTGCTGGCTAGCCCAATACTTTCTCTTTGGATCTGATTCCAAAGTTCTGTTTAACTGTGACTAAAATGTATCAGAACCCTGCAATTGTGGCACTATAAGTTTAGAAAAGATCTCTGCCCTTCCAAAACTCAGTAAGATAAGCAGAAAGACTATCCTAAAATGTGGGAGAAATCATTTGGAATAGACTTGTAATGGTCTAAGTATTTTTTAATCTCTATTCAGTCATTAAAGCTAGAAAACTGGGTCATTGATATGATCTACTTCACATGATTATTGTAAAGACCAATTGAGTTAATGTATGTAATATTTTAAATTAAAATATCCATCATGCAATACGTATTCAACTTTTATAAGTTCATATATTTCTTTGCCTTATAGTTTATCTGAAAACTGAATTGCAGGATGAGAATTTGTTTTCTTTTAGTACTTTGGATATATAATTTAGTTTTCTTCCAGTTAACATAGTATTTCTTCTCTGGGTACATGTGAGATACTCTTTTTGTCTTTGGTGTTCTGCAGTTTTATATTATTTTATATTATAGTGAGGTATAATCTGATTCTTGTTTATACTATAGGCCTGAGATAAATACATGTGTATACTTTGTATGATTTAAAATATCTTTATGTATGTATGTATATACACATTTTAATATTGTCTTGATAGTATTAATACCTTAGTATTACCTAGTTCTGAGGTCCTGACTAACTCAGTTCTGCTTTTTGAGCAGCCAATTAAATCCATATCCCAGCCTCCCTATCAGACTCTTAGACTCTAAGCAACTATGCATTTGCCCTGCTTGCTCCATGGTCCAGAACCAGTCATACAGGCCAGCCCCTGTGCCCCAGTATCTGGCAACATCATTCAAATTAGCCAGACCTAAACCTACTTACCCTGCCTTAATTTTTGTCCCTGCAGAAACCATAATCAAGTTGTTGGGCCTCAGCTCCCACGTCCCCTGCCTCCTGGCCAACCCTGCTGCTTCCTGTGTGGTCCTGCCTGGCATGCTGTGTTCTCACTGGGCAACTGTGAGTAACAAATGTAAAACTTCTGTTTTTCTCTCTTGATCTATGTCTAGCCTCACCATACCTCACTCGAGGTATACAGTTAAAACAGTGTCCACGTACAGATGCTAATACTATTTTATAGGTCCTAAATATCTCAAAGACAGAAAGAACTTTTTTTTTTTTCCTTTTGTCTCCTATGAGTCTTCCAGTGGGTGATTAGGCTTTGAAAAGTTGAAGCTTTCTTTTGTGGTTTCCCCCCGCCACCTTCATCCCTTACCATACATAAACCTATCAGTTGTCCACATGGCTATAAGGTCATAAATTCCTTGGTTACTAAAAAAAGGTTAAGTCTGGGACCAGCAGTTAGTGTAATGGCTATGTCTATGGACTCCCATATAGTCGATTATGTTTCGAATCCCGGACCCGGCGGCTTAAGCTCACACCAGGCACGTGTGCATATGTGCCCAAGATCCCGAGAGGAGAATGGAGGAGAAGAGATTGCGGCATTGCCATCCTCCCTGGGGGGGAGGGGGGTGATTTCTCGCTTTCTGTCTCTCTGTCTCTGTCTGTCTTTCTGGCGAGTGTACATGCCCTATAGCAAAAAACCTCTCCAAAAAAGGAAAAGAAAAAAAAAAAAGGTTAAGTCTGAGCTTGGACCTGCACAACTTGAATATCAGTTTCCACTTAAATGTAATGTTCTGGGATACAGTTTGCTTTTTTGCAGTGATATGTTTGCAATTAGCTATGCAATTAAGAGAAATTTGTTATATTTTAATCTCAGCTTTTATGTGTCCAAGATTACAAGTTACCAATTCTGCATAATTTTGGAAACACATGTGCCACAGTCACTATTTAAATCACAGATATGCACCTTCTATTGCAAAACTCCCCATAGTCTGTTCTGGCTAAGGTCAATTTTGATCCCCACAGTAACATATTAAAGCCAGGTTTTGCTGCCTTGTGTTATTTCATATCCCTGCATAATGTCTAAGTATTTTTTTTTATTCGATTTGATTTGGTTTTTGTTTTTTTCCCCTGGATTATTACCCACTGTATCCTGGTTTACCCTATCTAGTCTGTAGAGCTCTTTCTGATCTCTCCTGCCCTACCTCTTTCCACTCTTCTCCTTCCACTCTTCTCCTTACTCTCTTCTCCTTACTCTGCTAGAAAAGTGGGTCATGGATATCTTCTATGGACCAAGTAAAGCATCTCCTCCCCATGTCCCTTGTGCAGGTAGTAAAATTTGCCTGGAAAGCACACATTACTGGGTAATTTTATTTATCCTTAAGTCCTTGAAGGAATTATCAACTTCTCAGAAATTCTTTACCTTACTTTCCAATCTAAAACATTCACCCCTTCCCTCATTCTCTTGATCATAGCACTCTATTATATTTCTGTGGAATTCTAATTTGTGTTTTAGCTATATTTTAATGCACTTGTATATCTTCATTCACTTTAGTAATTTACTGATTTATTTATGTGAAAATAAATATCCTTTTTTTGAGGATTGATATGATAATTTCCATTATTGTTAAGTCAGTAAATATGCCTGAAGCCTAAATAATATGGATAAGATCTTCTAGCTAGAATAATAGAAATTTAAGCCAGGTTTGTTTTGTCAAGTCTGATGTTTTTAGCATACCTTGTGGTCTGAAAGTGTGTGTTCTTCAAAATTCAGATGTTGAAAACTAATTATTGTGTGATTCGATTAGGCAGTGGGTTTCTTAAGAGGTGATTAGTCGAGATGGTGTAGAGTTCATGAATGGATTTATTGTTCTTATGAAAGGGAATCCAGTGAGACCCCTTTCACCCATTACGCACCTGAGGACGGAGCCAGAAGGAGCTATCTATAACCAGATAGCAGGGTCCTTACCAGACAGCAAGTCTGCTGGCACCCATGTTTTCTAGCCTCCAGAACTATGATGAATAAATTTCAGTTGTTTCTAAAATGTTGTGTTTTTGTTATAGCAACCCAAATGGATTAAGACAGCACATTCACCTTTTGTACATGTAGTCATACTTTGCATGAATAGCTGTACCTACCTAGGTGCCTGTGATGGCCTAGCCAGTATCCCTCAGCAAGCACTGGTCTGAATAATTGTAACGACAACTTATTAAGATTATGATTCAGTATAGTAGTCACTGTTTTATATGCTAATTTTTCTACTTTTATTCACTGGAAAAGCCTGTTTCATATTCAATCAATCTGGCCATTGTTAAAAATTATAAATAAAGCTAGATCCATTTAAGCATCTCATTCTTAATGGTATCAATATTCAAAAAGATAATGGAGTCATTATTACCATTGACACCAATTAATCCTTATTAAACACCCACAGAGTTCCTGGCACTAAACAGAATGCAGAACAGAAAGTACTTAGTGAAAAGTGAAAAGTCCTTGAGTAACTTAATGTTTAGTCCATACAATTCAGCATTATAAAATGGAATGTGGCATTATAAAAAGAGAGTGCCATTCTGTGCTTAGATCTAGAAATGAGAGAATGGAAAATATTTTCAATATTGCAAGTATTTTTCAAGTGGAATTTTTAAAATATAGTTCAAGTATTTGTGTCAAAATGTATCATTGGAATGTGTATATTATGAATGTGCATAGCTAAAGCGTAGATATTTGAGCCAGATAAAACATCACTTGTCAAATTTAATTTGAAACTGCTACATCAAAACTTTTTAAATTAAACTGAAAATTACCTATAACTGTAAAGTTATATAAAATAATATTTATGAACCTGATCAGATAGACCTAGGTTTAAGTTCTGATTCTGCAATTATTCAATGTATCTTAGTCTCATTCTATACATCTGTAACATAATCATAACATTACTTAGTCATGGAGATGTTCTAAAGATTTCATTATGTAGGGACCAGCAGTTAGTGTAATGGCTATGTCGTTGAACTCCCATGTAGCTGATCGTGGTTTGAGTCCCAGAACCGGTGGCTTAAACTCACGCCAGGCGGGTGTGTGTGAGTGCCCAAGATCCCAAGAGGAGAATGGAGGAGAAGGGATTATGGCGTGGCCACCCCCCCCGGGGGGTGATTTCTCTCTTTCTATCTCTCTGTCTTTCTCTGTCAAAAAAAAAAAAAAAAAAAAAAATTATGTATGAAGTGACACTTAGCCCTTTGTACTTGATACTGAGTGCCTATACATTTTTCATTTAAATTAATCAATAATAGTCAACCTTCAATTTAATCAGAAATTGTACACTAACTTTTATACCAACCATTTCATTTGAGCAGAGAATAGCCATGGGTTTATTTTGTTATGCAAAAATGTGTCCTGGCTTTCCCAACAACCCTACATATTTACATAGAGAGAGAATTGTGTGTGTAGAGATATACTGATATGATTGAGAGATTATTAGGTCTCAGTTATGTTTTCTTTTTCCTAAATTTGTATAAAAAATACAAATATTTAAATTTAATGTTTTATTTTACAGTGTAATCATTAAATTTTTCATTATTCATTAGTATTTTGTTATATTTCTATTTTGGATTATCACTAAAGATTATGTGGAATAATTAATATTTACACCCTTGAAAATGTGTAGAATTGAAAAAACACAATGAAGAGGGAGAATAACTCCTTTTTTTCAATACCCCCAAACCAACATAAGACAAGGCAAGTATGTGGGAAATTCATGAGTCAAGTAGGAGTGGTAAAATATTGAATAGCATATTATAATAATGCTGTAGTATGAAGGGACTCCATGAGACTAGGATTTTTTAGTTGCTGATAAAGATTGCAGGTATTTATGAATATAAATGAATGACTTTTCATTTTAATAACTCATGCAAAAGAAATTCAGTAATATTTTAGCAGAAAGAAGATGACCTTATTCGATCAGTTGTTAATAAAAAATGATAGAGTAAAATGTGATGTATTAAGGCCAGCAGTCAGTGTGGTGGTTAAGGTACTGGACTTCCCCGTGACTGACAACAGTTCAATTCCCGGACCTGGCAGCTTAAAAATCTCACTGGGCATTATGTCCCCAAAATCCCAGTAAGAGAATAAAGAAAGGACTGTGTTGTGGCCATCCCCTTTGTAGGTTAATTTCTCACTTTCCCTCTCACTGTCTCCCTGGTAAGCACACTTGCCCTATGGCCAAATCCTAAAAAAGAAAATTAATACATACATTGGTGAAATGAGAAATTAGAGATAGGAAAATAGAATCAAAACATCAATGTTCAGTTTTTTAAATAGAAAAATAAGGTTCAGAATATTAAAATAACTGTAAATATAGTGAAGGATGAGTTGTGAGAGATATAGAAGTAAAAATTAATAGAATTTGCAAGATTTTTTTGTTACAGAAATGAGATAAGTTTTTTTAAAAAGGATACATGTTCAAACAGTAGGTTTAAAGTGATTTCATCAATTTCCTCTTCCTTTTTGCTTATTTCTATTAAATTTCTCTTTTTTTTTTTTTTTTTTTGAGAGGTTTTTGCTGTAGGGTGCATGCGCTCGCCAGACAGCCAGAGAGAGAGACAGAGAGACAGAAAGTGAGAAATCACCCCCCAGGGGGATGGCCACGCTGCAATTCCTTCTCCTCCATTCTCCTGTCAGGATCTTGGGCATGCACGCACATGCGCCTGGCGTGAGTTTAAGCCATCTGGTCCAGGACTCAAACCATGGTCATCTACATGGGTGTCCAGTGACATAGCCATTACACTAACTACTGATCCCTAAAGTTCTCTTTTTAAAGTACACTACAGTTTATCTCAATACCGTCATTTAAAACTGAAAAATAATATTACATCTCATAATATTTTTTTCTTTCTTCTTTTGGAGAGGTTTTTACTATAGGGCACGTACGCTCACCAGAAAGACAGAGAGACAGAAAGCAAAAAATCATGCCCCAGGGGGGATGGCCACGCCACAATCTCTTCTCCTCCATTCTCCTCTCACTATCTTGGGAATGCACACACACGTGTCTGGCGTGAGTATAAGCCATCAGGTCCAGGACTCGAACCGCTGTCGACTACATGGGAGTCCAGC